GTCCTCAACACGCTGAATCCGTCATGCGGGCGGCGTGGGAACATGGAGTCCGATTAACCCTGCCCCCCGAGACGCATTTATACCCTGTTGACAATTAGACTGATCATTTCCCTTGTAAATGTACAGGCCTGATGAGAATTTACCGAAAACATATTTTAGCCAATTGACTTTTCATTCCCTAAAAAGGGCCATGTAGTAAATACGCTGGACCAACACGGCGAGTAGATCGGGATCCGGCGAGTGTTAGTGGAAATGCACACCCATAAAAATGCAAACATTGTGATGCTAAAGCACGCCCATGTGCAAGCCGACTCCGAGCCTGCTGGGATCCGGACCGCCCCCTTTTTTGCTTTCGTCGTGTAAGATCTTCGTCAATGTATTTTGTGGACCCGGAGGTGTGATGATAGGTCTGGGTGCCGGTTTTTGCCCTGTTAGCCACCTGTGTCCTTCCCCGCCCCCGGTCTTCTCGGCTCCGTCCTGACACCGTACTCAGTTGCGAGAGGAGGAGGGGAGTGCGGTAGATACTGCGCAAATATACTCACTCGCAAGTCGCTGTTACTGCACCAACCATGCTGTGGGACACACGGCTGGATATCGTCCGTAAAGATGGTCGAACCGTCTATGCAGTAATACCTGCAAGACGGTTCTGGGTGCGTCTACCTTTGGTTGTGCTGGAAAGGACCTTGCAGTTCTCGCCTAGGGTTCACTATTATGAGAAGGCTCACTCTTTTAAATGCATTTATTGATGAATTTTATACACAGGTCCACTCCTGTGAGTCGCCTGCCGTAGATAGTCTTTTAGCGAATTCGGCTCTGAGATGTCCATGAGTAGTCTCTGGCTCACGAAATGTCTACCTACGAATGAACTTCGCCAGTGCCAGCAAATTCGAGTCTTCAGCTATTCATATACAGACCTAAGATAAATAATTCGGTTTTACACTGGACATGTCGTAGCCAATAACTATTTGCAGAAGACTGGATTCGCCTTAACTTCTTTTCTGAATGCCCGTCGGTTATCATTCGGTTAGCGGTTGGTGGAAAACGTTGATTGAAAAAACGGCCAGTCGCGCACGGAGCAATCATGATGCACATGTAGACGGAAACCTCACGCCATGACAGGCATCACATCTAAGTATTGTCTCGTGTAGGCCTTACGCAGATGTACAGTTAGACATGATAAAAAGCAGCCTTCATTGTTATGGTAAAGCCAAAAGGGAGGCTGGCAATTCATATGTGCCTCGGTCCCTCTATGGCAACAGTCAGTCGCTTCCAACATGTCCGCGATGACAACGCAAGTTCCGCGCGCGAACCGACCACGTAGGACACCTTCGGGCGCGATGCAACAACCCAACAACGTCAGCATCTCCCACTCTCGCCCCTGCCCCAAACCCCACGAAGACGACTCCCCTACCCGTCACCGATGATTACACTGCCGCTGCCCCGCCGCCATCAATCACCGAAATCGTTTACCCTGTACCAACCTCCGCGCCGACTGCAGCAACTAGTTCTGTCAACAACACAACGTCTCACATCCACCAGCACCCTCACATCTAGAGATATGAATTCGGTTTCAACTTGTCCTCATCGTGGCCACACATTCACCTCAGACATCGGCCTGGTCGGTCACCAGCAATTCCATCGTACAGGGATTGGCGAACTAGGGCCCGCAAGAACAACAAAAACATGCACTAGACGCATTCGCCTCAAATACCCTCATTGCCCCCGCACAGTCACTCACCGCAAGGGCCCATTCAGTCACATGCTTTTCACGAATGCGGAATTCGCCGCACCTAGTGCGCCTAGCACGTTCACTATGTCTGGCCGAATCCCCACCCCATCGTCCGGCATGCCCACCGCCAGCAGCTCCACCACCACCACCACCACCACCACCACCACCACCACCACCACCACCACCACCACCACCACCACCACCACCACCACCACCATCGACATCAATTCTGACACTCCCGATTAGTCCTGCCCGTACTGTCCCCACACATCCACCTCACGTACCGATCTGGCCGGTCACCTGCGAATCATCGCACAGAAACTGGATGATCAGTGCCTGGAGGACCAACATACACTCGCCGCATCTCCCTCAACTGTCCTCACTGGACGCGCACATTTACCCACCGTATGTGCCTAATATGCCACCTGCGCATTCATGCAAACCTGCGGTAGACAACCGCCGGCTTCAGTACACCATCACACCTTACCCCACCAGCCCCTGCAACACTCAAGATCACCAATCGTCACATGACACAAGCACGCAATTGACACCACTTACTTAATCAAGAAGCAGGCTCCTCGACCCCTACTTCATGTAACTTCGCTGCCAGTGTGACCTGAATCTGAGACCATCATGGTGCACCAAGCGCCGTGGCTTAAAAGGCTGCCGACGGACGCCTCAATTCAGTCCACGCAGTTTGCCAGTTGTGTGTGTGTTTGTGCGGAGTGGCGGACTGATATGCTGAGAGTTAGGCTGCAACGGCACCTTCTCAACATGACCTCTGGCACTCGAACGCATGTGACTATACCTTGATATCGGGCTCAGGTGGGGGAGGATGAGAGAGTCAGGTAGATACTTCACAAGTCGATTATTATTATAAACTAATTCACGCACGAGTCACCGTGCTTGCCCTCAACCTACCGTGGAGCATACAGTGGACATCTTCGGCGACGACGGCTAAACTCTTAATGATGCAGACGGAAAACCGACAAAGCAAAGAGTACTGGGTTAGTCATTGCTGACTTATCCTCCGACGTGACAGTTAGTGATATGCATCCGTGTTCAAATCACAGTTCGGCCAAAAAAATGGGGTCTGATAGGTCTGATTAACTATGCCTAACGCACCAGACGTCGCCGACCCAGCCTCTTTTGTCTTTAATGGTATTCCCTGCTGTAACATTAGTGGTTGAGGGAGAAGGAAATGCGCAACGGTACGGAAGGAGTTTGTTGCCTAACTAACTTAATTTACGGTCCTTATCGTAAATGACAGAACGGCGGACCCGTGGCTTAATGGTAAGACCTTGGATTTAACGCTCAATGACAATCCTAGTTTCCCCTGTTTTTTTTTTCTCACTGTTCCTTCTGCGCGGTAAAGTGATGCGGTTACTGCAACTGGCAGATTAACTATCAATGAGGCGTAGTAAAGGTGCTTCGGACGGATTTCTGCGCTCTATTCGCGAGAGTCCGTAATTTGTGAGCCAATGAGTTGTTCTACAGATAAAAAGCCCTCTCGTATAAGTACTGGTAGTAGATGCCTTAGGTATCAGATGACAGATCAAGTATTGGGAACTCACAGGGACCAATCTATTAGCGAAAACAGCCTAGTCTGTGAAATTTCAGAAACGAAATTCTCGCATTATTGAGGCGGTATATCTAACTATGCAGAACTCAGGCCTTTTTCAACCGTACTGGGGGAAGGTTGTTTTAGCGACTTCACTCTGAAACGAAGTCTTCAGCGACAGAAAGTGTGGAGAGGAATTAACCGCCCTGACCAAAGCAGGTCCTTTTAAAATGCGATCGTTGTAGAAAAAAACAGTCGTTTTGCGATACGCTGCCGGAACAGTCCGTCTGACTGGTGTCCAATCTGCTCGGCCAGCACACTGCTTTGCCTGACCAGAAAAGTCCAGACGCTAGTTTAAATGCTAACTATGGGTTTTGAGCATCTCAATGATGGCACTAAGTGCACCTAACCTGCTTAGAAACAGTTACCTAGATTTAAATCGAAAGCTAATTTTCTCCAGGAACTCATCTCCCATTAATCCATCTGCAAAGCATGTAACTTCATAATGTTGCGGTTATGCCGAAGACAAGAGTCCCCTTCAGTATAATGTGCTGGTTAACTGACAACATGCTACATTGGATTAAAACAGTAAAAACCCAATGTGTTCGTATATTTTAGAGAAGGGATTTGTGCGAATCTTCTGTAACAGAGTGAAAGGGAGGCTGGCATAACTGCAGGTTCCACTTTTTTACAGAATGCAACCAGGCAACTTCTTCGAACTAAACGTACAACGTAGGACAATCAAAAGTTGAACAGCTGAGAGAGTGTGAGTCTGACTAGTAGTACCGCATACCTCAAGCGTGTCCGAGGCCATTACCCATCTACTGCGAACGCTGCGGATTGACGCTGCTGACCGGCCTGAAACGACAATATGGCATCTGGATCATAAGACTCCGAGACACCCAACGAGGAGCTGAGACAGCGCATGGTTGCTGACAGAAGCGAACAGGCGAGTTTCATAAAGCAGTTCAGAATAAGAAGAATAAGAAGAAGAGGCGATCACTTGAATAAGAAGTTTATTGGCCTGACGTTTCGGATTCTCACTCGAACACACCACCAGAGACAGTCGCAGGTGATGATATCTCTGATAACATCACACGGTCCCACAACTAGACACACTTTTGCCTTCGAGAATGACGAAACTACTGATCGGATGACCTGTCTCGTGACCGGAAAGACATTGCTGACCCAACATTCAAGCGTAACCTTAAAGAATCGTATTCTAAGCCCTTGAGGCGTGTCACGCCCTGCACACAGGCCTCAACGCAGGAAGTCATCGAGATCCCGGCGATGGGTGAACAGACATGGGCGATATCACTGGTTAGGACACTGAAAAGGCTATTAACGGCAGTGTAAAGTCGGCACTAGTTGCAGTATGGTACAGTAGGTTGACGGCGGCTCCATTTGCCACACAGGATAAGGGGAAGCAGTCATTGCGATGGCATCCAACCATCCGACCTACAGTAAATGGTCGCGGGCGGATGACGCCTGCCAATAATCTCTCGACAGTGCCAACAGCACCATTAAAATTGGAGAGTTTGGCGTTCATCTTCTCCTTGACTGAGGAGACTCGTTTACTTCTTAATGGTCTCAAAATAAGCCAGTTGTTTCTGAGACCTTCCCTTCTCAACCAGAGAACCTGTATTCGCTTCAAGGACGGTCAGAACTATCTAAAAATATTACATATTATATTTAAACCTGTATTATCGAAAGCAAAGTAAACAATAATCTCGAATGACTCAGGAAGAATCTCAAAAATTGCGTTTAACTCTCCAGGCATCCTTACGATAAGGCAGCAGTATTGGAAAGTGAAACGGTAGTTCAAATTTTTATTGTACTCTAGGTTCCATGTTGTCTTAACTCCGGACATACCCGCTAACGGAACCGTCTTACCAAATGTTTTGGTTGTGAAAGTCAAACTTGTATGAAGATCCCTTATCACAATATAATGAAAGTCCCTTCCTTTGCGTACTCACTTCCACGACAGTTTTTACACTATTAAAAACCTTCGCAGAGACCGTAAAACTCCGCTGGGGCATCCTTAGGGTTCTTCAAAAAGTACGGTTAATTGTTTCTGATCGAAGTTAAGCAATCCTGCCGTAGTCTAGCACCATCCTATTACTCTACGTCAGCCCTGTAACTCAGGTATCTGAAGTTTTAGAAGGCCATGAGAATTCACGTAGAACGCGTTGTTGTAGGGTGCTTCCTCGTTCATACCACATACAATGAACTGAACGGGCGCAGTTTTTACTCACCAATAAGGGGAATGTGAGCAGTTTTTGGCATTTTTTCTCTCCTTTTTTTGCGAACCGTAATCTGCACCTCAGTCGTGTACCCTCACCAACAAAGCAATATCGTTTATTTTATTGTCTCTCCCACCCCTTAAAGACGTAAGAGAGATTGTGCTTCAGACCTATTTCAGAAAAAGCTTGGAGAGACTGGAAAAGTCATTCTTGGTATATGGGTTCCACGTCAGCCGGCCATGCCGCAGTCCCAAGATCGAGAAGTCTGGATATTACAGTTTAGGTCCAGGTGATCGTTACGTCTAACGCTGTGTCAGCGCACCCTGTTTCTCATTGCTAATTAACTTCTTCTGGAGACCTTAGAAGCTTATTCTCATCTTCCCTCCGTTGCTGACCTTCTCACTTGCCCCTTCCTCCCAGTGGAAGCGAAAAGTGCTAGATTGACATATAGCCATTCCATCTGAAATTGTTTCCCGCACCCCACTGTATCCCGTGAACGTGACAACCCTTAAAACCACTCCAACAACACTGACTACTGCCTATGTGACCTTGTAAGACTATCTGAAAACGAAAACTCACGCAGACGACGGGCAGGGCCCTTGATATTTTGGCCTGCCGCTCATTACCGCAAACAGCGATCGTCAGTTCTAACTGTTCGGCACTGTTACGCCCTTTATCGTTATACGTTTTTATGCATGCAGAAGATGCAATGGTAAAGGACGTGACACGGTCTACTACCGAACAGCTGGAAATGGCGATCCACGCAACGATCTCAGCGAAGTGCGCCGGCCATGACGTCTATGGTGCACAGAGCAGGGTACTCACCATCCGCTGCCGAATTCTGTAGTGGAAACGTTGATTCGGCGTGGGCTCAGGGCCAGAACTCCCCTGCCACGTGGGCTGCGTGTGACTCAGACCTCGACTTGACGACGCCGTGACTCCAATCGATATTCTTGTCGTCACTATTGGGGCCGCAGCCAGATATGGCTAATGCACGCGTTAACACCTCGCACCGCTAACTGGCGCGTGTGGCGTGGCAGAGCTTTTGCTGCCATCAATGTCGAAGCCGTTTTTGCCTTCCCCGCCGTCTTGCGTAGCAAGGGCTGCGAGAGCTGCAGGACGCCTGAATAGCCCACAAGGCCGAGGAGATCTAAAGGGATGCCAACTGCAAAGAAACAAGGAACTTCTTCGATGCGATCAAAGAGATCTACGCCCTCCCCTCTCCCCAACGAAAGAAACTCCATCGCTCCTCAGCTCTGATGAATCAATGCTCCTGACGGAGAAGTCGCAGATTCTGAAGCGCTGGGCCGAGGACATCAAAAACGTCCTCAGCCGTCCCTCCACAATCTCCGAAGCCAACATCGACCAGCACCCCCAAGCGGTAATCAACGTCGACCTAAATCTTCCGCGCTCAGAAACCATCAGCGCTGTCCAACAACTCTCCAGCGAGAAAGCACCAGGCCCCGGTGTGATCCCAACGGAAATCTACAGACACGGCGATGACCGCCTGATGGACCGACTCGCGACGCTATTTGAGGAGATTTGGCGCTGGGAACAAGTTTCTCAGGATTTTATGGACACATCCATCGTTTGCCTCCAGAAGCGAAAAGGGAGCGGGCAACTGCGTGATACTCACAGAAAGATCTTGCTACTCAACATCGCCGGGAGGATTTTCGTCCGCATTCTCCTCGGTTGCCTCAACGGTCACCTAGATCAAGGACTTCTGCCGGAAAACCAATGTTGCTTCCGACGACACCGGGACACCGCCAACATGGTCCTTGCCGCTCGCAAGCTACAGAACAAGTGCCAGGAGATGCGAATCTACCTTTACACTACTTTCATTGTCTTTACAAGAGCCTTCAACACAGTGAGTTGTGACAGACTGTGGAAAATCATGCAGAACTTCGGTTGTCCTAAACGATCCACGCACATGGTGCGTCAGCTCCGTGACATGATGATAGCGCGCGCCACGAACAACGGCGCAATCTCCAAGGCATTCACAGTGACCAATGGAGTTAAGCAGGGCTGCGTTCTCTTTCCCACCCTCTTCAGCTTCACGTTCTCTGCCATAATGATGGGCACCCACCGTAAAGAGTGGCCTGAGATACGCATCGCCTACAGAACCGACGGACATCTCAACTGCAGGCGTATGCAGGCCCACGCGCAACTGTCTACGGCTACCGTCCACGACGTGCACTTCGCCGACGACTACGCGCTCAGCACTACGGCCGAAGAAAACATACAATGGAACATGGACCTCCTCGCCGCCGCCGGGTGCACAACTTTGGCCAGACTACCAACTCGGTGGTCATACACCAACCATCACCTAGCACGCAACACAGCACTGTCCCCCGAATCAGTGTCAACGGCAACAAACTCAAAAAGCGTTGGCAAGTTCGCTTAGCTGGGAAGCACACCTTCCTGCAGCACAAGAACCGACGATGAAATGGCCCACCAGATCCCTTAAGCCAGCCAAGTCTTCGGCCAGCTGCAGAATACTAAAGTTGAGGTGGGATGGCCGGATCCCCGGTACGGAATTCCTAGAACCGATCGGAATCCTCAGAATTCGCGCAACGCTAAGGGAACTGCAACTAGGTTGGAGGGACCATCTTGTAAGAATGGAAGATACGCGTATACCACAACAACTCCTCTTTAGTGGTGTCGTTACGGACGCCCACCGATAAGGAGGGCAAAAACGGGACAGCAATAACACTTTGAATAATTATCCGAAACGACTGCAGATCAACCCGGGGACATGGGAAGTTCTCGTCCAGAACAGGCCGGCATGGAGAGTAGAAGTGAATACCGTCGCAGCCATCTACGAAGAAAATCGGATTGCCACCGTCAAAGCCAAAAGGGAGGCTGGCAATTCATATGTGCCTCGGTACCTGTATGGCAACAGTCAGTCGTTTCCAACATGTCCGCGATGACAACGCACATCCCGCGCGAATCGGCCTCGTAGGACACCTTCGAACGTGTTGCAACAACCCGACAACGCCAACTTCTCCCACTCTCGCCCCTGCCCCAAACCCCGTGACGACGACCCCCTACTCGTCACCGATGATTACATTGCTGCTTTCCCGCCACCATCAATCACCGAAATCGTTTACTCTGTACTGACCCTCGCGTCGACTGCAGCAACTAGTTCTGCCAACAACACAACATCTCGCATCCTCCTCGCCAATGGGGGCGATGTCCAACTCCTCGCATTGCCTCCGTACGTTCTCTCGCCGCATGGGTCCTTTCGGTCACATACTTATCCAAGAGACCGGAATTGGCCGCCGTCTCGACACACCTAGCACCTCCTGCACATCCACCATACCTAGTTTAAACCACACCCCGCCGCCATGCACAACCACCACCATTAGCTTCACCACACTCAGCACATCTTGCACATTAACCACGCTCAGCCCAATTCCCACCCAATCGTCTGACGCACCCACCGCCAGCAGTTTCACCATCACTGTCGAATGTGGGTTTCGTTCTGTAACTGGCGCTTAGACTTCTT